AGAAGAAGATATTCCGTCTACTGATTCATTCCCCAAGTGGCCACAACGGCCGGAGCTGAGCCAATCTGAAGCCAGGAGCTTCTTCCAAGGTATCCCACATGGATGCAGAGTCCCAAGGCTTTGGGCTATCCTCCTCCACTTCCCAGGTCACAGGCAGGGATCTGGATGGGAAGTGGAGGAGCCAGGACATGGCACCCATATGGGATCCCAGCATGTGCAAGGCGAGGATTTTAGCCACTGGGCCTGCTGTATCTCCTTTTTAGCTGATCTAAGCTAGCCAGGAAAGAGAGAAGGGGTGGCTTGGTGAGATCATCGGGACAGGGTGGATGGGGAAAAAGAAGACCTGGAAGAACCCCTCCCTTTCACCCTTTCTGGAATGAGAAGAACCAGGATAGAAGGGCAGGAAGGGAAGAGAAATAGTTTGGGCCAGGGACCTTTCCTCTTTGACCAGCATTTTTTTTTTTTTTTAATCTGTGTGAAAAGCAGTATGATTGAAAGAGAATCTTCCACCTGCTGGTTCACTTCCCCAAATGGCCAAAACAGCTGTGGTGGTACAGGCTGAAGCCAGGAGCCAGCAACTTCATCTTCATCCAACTCCGTTGTCCCTTGCCTCCCTGGGGCTTGAACAGGGAACTTAATTGGAAGTGGAGCATGGCCTGGAAGCTATGCTAAGATATGGGATACAGGCAGTTGCAAGCATTAGCTAAGCACACGGTGCCACAAGGTTTGCCCTGTTTGAAACATTTCTCATCTGAAGCAGGGGTTCCTTTACCTGGGAGTCCCCGATCCCCTTGAAAGACAGTTGCTTTGTGGGCCGGTGTGGCATGAGGTGGTTTTTGCAGAGGCCTGAAGCATGTCCCCAGCTGCTGCCTCAGCTCCTGCCTCCAAGTTTTTTCCTCTTTGCCCTTTCAGCTCCATTTCCACCCCCTCCTGTTTCCTCCCATGCCCCTAAAGGCCTGGCAAGGAAAGGGTTACCCCCAGAATAAGACAGAACACACCTGTATATCCACGGTTAGCCAGAGGTCCCAGGCCCCTTATCCCCACCCTAGGACCAGAGCCAGGAGGGAAGTGCCCTACCACCCTGGGGGAATGGTGGACAGAGCCAGGCTGGTGAGAGGAGAGAAGGAGAGGACGCAGTCTCCCCTGCACTTGGGACGCAGGAAGTCACTGTCATCCCCTTTTAGCTTCCCTTCCCCATCCCTCCTAAATTCTGGGGAAGTCCTTGATCTCTGAGGCCCCGTCTACACAGGCCTCAGCTACCCGGAGAACATTCCATTGACTCTGGATTCAATCCCAGGGGCAAGTCCGGGCATCCGAGCTCCAGTGAGCTTTGGAGCTGAGTAATCAGCTGCTGTGGCTAGGCAGACATTTGGTTGGAACCACCAGCTACCCACCCCCACCCAGCAGCGGATCTAGGGTGGGAGGAGGGGTGGAGGGACCTCTGTCACTCCAGTGTCTTCCCCCCCCCAACTCCTCACTGTCTCCCTCTTCCCACCTGCAAGTAATTTGGCCAATAGGAGGGCAGTTAAGATTGCAGCTCACCGGGTCCCTCCAGAACTGCCCGCACTGGGGGAGGAGGGGGTCACCCGTCTCCCCCAGACCCCGGGTGCCCTTTCCTCTTTGAGGCAGCAAATTATTTGTAATTATCTCACATTGAAAGCCTTCAGGAGCTGCTTCCAAAATTGCTTTAATTGAATTAATTGAATCTCATTTTGCTGGGGGAACAAATGGGGAGAGGGTCTTAAAATAGTCTCTGGGAGAGGGGAGGTGAGCGACCCAGCAGGAAGGGATATCCCATATCCTTTTCCCAGTGGCTGACAGCAGTCCTGGATGCTCCCCGAAGCAAGTCCCTACTTTCTGGCCTCAGCTGAGTCCCCTTGCGTGCGGTGGGGACTGGGGCATGCCGAGTTCTGCCTCCGCCTCCGGAAGCAAGTCTGCAGAGGTGCCAGGTGACTGGATGGACGGCAGTGAGGATCACCTCCGCTGTAACGCCTCCCCTCCCTGATCATCAAAACAGCAGAATCGCCATCTACTCAGCAGGTTCCAGGCACCACGTCAAGCATGTTACAAGCGCTATCTCTTTTCATCATTACAGCCACTCCGCAAAGCAAGGGCGGGAAATAAAGACCCAGAGAGAGGTTAAGTCACCTGCCAGGAGTCACACAGCTGGCTGGGCACTCCAGGCATCTAAGCCCCTGTTGTTCTTAACTTCTGGATCTTGTTCCCTCTCCTCCCTGTGGACCCTATTTCCCAACAGGGCTTCCTCTGGGGGTACGGGGCTCCTTCTCTACTTGGGCTCCAAACTGGTCACCACCGCCCTCCCCAGGGATACTGGGGGAGCTGTATCTGGCTCAGCTTCCAGGTGACAAGGGAGATTCCCGTTTCCCCAAGAAAGGGTAATGGGGGTGAGACACCCTCCCCATCCCACACCCACCATCAGTTCTGCTGGCCTCTGGCGGGCAGAGTAATTACACTCCTTGTGCTACGCAACTTTACAACCTGGGCTGTTGTTTTAACGATGCGACTCGTGTTGGGCTGTCCAATTAATCTCGCCTTTGGAGGCTTTCCGAGATGGGCGGTAGATCTTATCTCTGGGCTGTGGAAAGGGGAGTGCGCGACCTGCAGAGGGAGGGAACAGCTGCCTTCAGGGCCTGTGGCCTCAGCAGAGACCCAGAAGGGGAGCCTGGGCCCCAGCATCCTCTGCCAGCTGCTGCTGAAGATGGGGCAGAGGGACGTAAGAGGCGTTGATGGGAAGGAAATTAAAGATGCTTCTCCTCTTGGTCCTCTCCTTCCTCTGGGGTTCCGGGATCCTGGCCTTGGTCCACTTCATGCCATTTGCATCCCCAAGAGACTCTTCCTCTGGGTGTGTTTTGGGGAGTAGGGAGGGGGGTCACAGACCCAGAGGGAGTGTGAGGGGGAACTGACTGCAGGGGTCCAAAGGTGGGGGGCTTCCTTGAACATCGCATTCCCTATGCCCTACATACAACCCCAATTTTCCAACTTGGGCTTCTGGCAGTGCCTGAGTGGACTTTGTAGAGTGGGGCAGCCCCCACTTGCAATCCCAAGAACAGGTTTAGGCAGGAGGAGGAAAGCTGACTCCTGGGAGCTTTTTGCCTGGAATTGGAGCCCCTCCCCCACTGCCTGGGGCCAGGCTGAGCAGGATTCCCGGGATTATTCCCGGTCCTGGAGCTCCGACCTCCCCCATAGCTCCCCTAGCCCCTGGGGTGCTGTCTGTGCGGTGGGCAGCTGTGGTCCTGTCCTGGCCGCACAGCCGTCTGCTCCTCTTCCTGGCTCCCCGTTAGCCTGCGGCGGCTGCCTTGGTAACCCCGGAACTAACACAGAGCAGAGGCCACACAAACGTTAGTTAGATGGAGAATTTTGGTCCCTTCTTGGGTTTTCCTCCTTTTCTCTCCCTCCCCTCCTCTCCCGGTAGGGCTGAGGCCTTGCCTCCAGGTGGATGGAACTGGCTCACAGGTTCTGTGGGCATGTCCTCTCCCCAAGGTGAGCAGCGTCTCTCCCTGGCTATGGGGAGGGGTGCCAACGCCTGGTTCCCTCCAGAACTGGGCTCCAGAGAGAATCTGCTGGCAAGGATCACCCAGGCCTTGGTTATTCCCAGTGAGTGGATGATGCTAGATTCACAGAGCAAGGCAGCCGCCAAACCAGAATCCAGCATCTCTTATTGCAGGCTCAGCGAGAGAACAAGTCTGTTGAGAGGAAAGGAGACCCCTCCCCGCCCGACTCCAACTAGCACTCCAGAGAAAGCAGGGGACAGACATACCTTGAATCCAGGGCCCAGGTTTTTGTATGGACTTTAATCTAGGGCAGCTTGAGAGCTGGGGTGCTGGGGGTGAGATGCTAGTCAGGTAGGTTGTGTATTTGAGCAGTTCCCTGTGGGTGGACCCAGACTGCTGGGCATCTGTGTTTATACCTGCAGTCACCTGGGAACCAACTTGTCTTCAGTTCCCTCAAAATGAGACCCTCCTGGCACTCCAAAGAGTATGCACACAAAGGTGTGTCATGTTGGGTGGGGTAAGGGGAAATTTTTTTTTTTAGATTTATTTGTTTAATTTGGAAATCAGAGTTACAGAGAAAGAGGGAAAGACAAAGAGAGAGATCTTGTATCTGGTGTCTCACTCCCCAGATGGCTGCAGTGGCTAGAGCTGGGCTGATCTGAAGCCAGGAGCTTCTTCCAGGTCTCCCACATGAGTGCAGGAGCTCAAGGCCTTGGGCTATCCTCCACAGCTTTCTCAGGCCATTAGTGGGGAGCTGGATTGCAAGTGCTGTAGCCAGGTCTAAAACTGGCACCCGAATGTGATGCTGGTGCTGCCGGCAGAGCAATTAGCCTGTTGTGCCTTTACACTGGCCCCGAAATGGGCTCTTAATAAATAACTGACACATCATGGACAGCTGAATTCAGCATCCACTCAAATGGGGAGAAGCACGTGTCATAGCCTGCAGGTCTACAAACTCCCCATTTCCCGGCATCCCAGCTCCCTCAAGTTGGTGGTTAGCTATCAATGATGGGGGTGGTGAGCTGACCACCAGGAAAAATCAGTAGGTGGGACCGGATGGCGGCCAAAGATGAGGACTCCAAATACCCAGGGCACACACAGAGAAAAATACTTGGTTTCCTTCTGGTTTCATCCCAGGCTGGGTGGGGGGCGGTGAGGAGCTTCCCTTTCAGGAAGAGGCAGTGGTGGCGAGATCTTGGGGAGGGGCAGAGTGAACTGCCAAGGCCTCTTGTCAGAGCCCTTGTCAAGTTGGTGGGAAGATGTCTGGCATGGTAAGGGGTGGCCAGTGCTGAAGCCTTTGATTTAGCTGTTTGGGTTAGGGAGCCAAAATTCAACCCCACCCCTCTTCCTCCTCTAGTTCCTCCCCCTCTCTGCCCCCACCCTGAGAAAACCCATCTGGTGCTGGTTTCCTCCCAACCCAGAAGGGGTGCAGGTGGGTAGGGTCCTGGGCTTTGTAGGAGGCTGGGGGCGTGACCCACCTTTCCCAACTCACAGCATCTGGGGCAGAGTCAGGACATCTGAGGCGTGATGCTGACACCAAGCTTCGAAGCTGTTGCCATAGCCACTGTCAGCAGCGGGCAGGGCTCCTGCCTTGGGCATATCCCAGCGGGATGGAAGAGGTGGGGAGCAGGGAGACAGGGAGGAGGGTCTCCCTGGGAAGTCTCCTTCTTGCCCACCAAAGTTCTGCTTCAGGAGTTTCTTGTATTTGGAGCGTTTGTTCTGAAACCAGATCTTGACCTTGGAGGACAAAAAAGGAAAGAATTAGAGGTCAGGAGTGTGTGGGGCAGGATTCCTGAAAGGAAGCAGTTTCAAACCAAGGGAGCATTAGCTGAGTCCCCCACAGCCTTGGGAGTGCAGCTCCGCCTGGTGTGTGCTCCATCACCTGCTGTCCCTCTGCATTAACCCAGATCCCCACCTGACAGTCAGCCCTCAACACTCCCGGGAAAACTGTGTCATCTGGGGCCAGAGGACTCACTCACGCCACGTGGGAATTCGGGTTAGTTCTGCAAGAATGGGACCCCACCTGGGTCTGCGTGAGGCCAAGCTGTGCCGCCAGCTGGGCCCTCTCGGGCAGCGCCAGGTACTGCGTGTGCTGAAAGTGCTGGTTCAGGTGCTGCAGCTGCAGACTCGAGTAGATGGTCCTGGGCTTGCGCAGTTTCTTGGCCTGGGCCTGCCGGCTCCGCTCTGAGGGCTCCAGGGAAGGGGGCGGCAGCGGTGGCTTCTCTGAGCCTGGGGGAGGGCACACTCAGCTGTGTGTGGGGACCTGCCCCTTTCCAGCCCCAACTTTCTGTGCACCAGGTAACACACACACTGGGCTTGCCCCAGGGAGCTCTCACTAAGTGTACCCGGGTATCCCCGGGGCACAAGGTCGAAGTTCAGTCAGGTCAGGGCACTCGCTAGGGGTGGGGCGGGGCCAGAGGCTCCACGGAGGATTCGGCTGAGGTCTAGAGAGTGGAGGGGGAAGGGCATTCCAGGCTCCGGGAGAGCAAACTCAGAGCTCAGAGGCCCCGGCTAGTGTCGTCGTGGCACCCTCCGGCTGCTAAAAGCGGAATGAGTCAGAAACGCAGAAACGCTCAGCCTGCCTCCAGTGCCGGCATTGGAGCGTGGAAAGCGACCCTCAGGGCTTGCTGTGGCTTCCCCTACTGGAACGGCCAGCCCTCCCCAGAGGCGTACCCTGTAGGAAAAGTGACCACCTCGCCCCTCCTCCAGGGCCAAGGTGGGCAGCAACTTCAGAAGGCCGTCTTCTGCTGCACTGTGTGTGCACCTAGGAGTCCCTGCCTGCTGCCACCAGGGTTGGAGGCTAAGGTGAGGGTCGCCCACTGCAAGGCCACTGTGGAAGATCTGGTCTCTATCTGCCTGTTTGCCTCGCTTTCCCAGACTCTGGGCTGTGGAATAGCCCCAAGTGGAAGTGCAGGCATGAGGACCTACTTTTCCCAGCCAGTAGCGCCCACTTACATCACTCTATAGGACACCAAAGACTGTCTCAGGCAAACAGATATGGATAAAATGGTGAAAATGCCTGCCTAGTGGTAGGCTCAGGCCAAAGTGCACACAGGACAGGCCCTGCCGAACTTAGAGCACGCCCTGCCCCAGCAGCGCCCAGACCACTACCCGGGTTCTTCCCCTTCTCGGTGGGTTCTCCCCATGCGGTCTCCCACCCTTGGCCAGCTGTGGTCACCAGTGGCCTTCACCTCCCCCACACCCCTCATTAAGCCTCAGGTACTGTGGGCTTCTCAGATCCACCCCCTTGGAACCCCAGCCTCAGCCAATTCCCAGAAAAACCACTGCGTTTCCCCTCCCACCCACCCCCTCCGGCTTCCCCTGCTGCCATCCCTCCTCTCTAAGGTGCCCAATTGGAATACCACCCGTGCCTCTCTGGCTGTGTGTATGGCACCATAAGAGCATACTCCTACATCTGAACTCTGGCAGCTCTCCCTCCCCCCCCCCCCCCCCGTCAGTCCCCTCCCCACAGTAACTGCCATTGCAGAGGTTGCAGCAAGTCACAACTGGACCTGCCTGGTTGCGGTCTGGGAAACGCAACCCCAGGGCTTCCCTCCAGGCACCAGAGCTGGCTGCTTGAGTTCTGTTCACTTGAAGCCAGACCTTTCCCTGAGGCCCAGGGTGGGCACAAACAGGGGGTGAAAAACCCTGTCACATGCTGATCATTCACTGGAACCAATCCTCCCCCGTTCCAGCAAAGCAAACGCTGCAATCTGGTCTACGGCCAGCCGTATGCTGTGTGCGCATGTGCTGTGCTTCGTTGGACCCGGGAAAATCTGCAGAGCAACTAATTTGCCACCAGGTCGTCCTTCCACTAAACAAAGGGAAGGTAAGACACCAGCACCCTGCCCACACCCAGATGTCTGATGGACAAGGTCATATAGTCTCTGAGCCTCTACACACACACACACACACACACACACACACACACACACACACACCCCGTATTCTTCTACACCTAAGGGAACACACCCCTTGGGTACAGATCCTCCTCATGGTTTCACCCCTCCTCCAAAAACTGCCTGTTTCCAAGCAGCCTAGGGAGACAGTCCCAGCTTAAATCCAAAATTCTTCTTTGCTGCTCTCAGGCAGTGAAGTTGATTTGCAAGGGCCAGCAGTCTGGAAAACAGGTGTCGTCAAGCCTCCCCTGGCCCATCCCTGGGTACATAATTCAAGGTTACTTCCCTGATCCTAGAGGTGCCCCAGGCTGCGTTCATCTGTCACAGCGACCTGGGCTTGACTGCCACCAAGTCACCTGCTGGGTGTGCACCTACGGAGCAGAAAGCGGCCAAAGACAGCCTTGGGCACAACGAGGTGCAGGGGTGGGGATGCAGGGTACCTGACTTCTTACACTGGAGCCAGCACAGGCAGGTATAAAAAAAAGTTTGTGGGAAATGGAATAAAAGGATGCATTTTGCATGAACTTTATGGGGTACCGCTGTGTGTGTATAAGGAGACAGGCGGTGGCCGAACTCATTTAGTGTCTGGAGAGCTATCTGGAACCCGGTGCCAGGACCTCGGACCTCGTTGAGTTCACTGGGACTTTCCATAGAGCACTGTTTCAGGGGTGCAGTCTCTCTAGGCAGTGGGAATTAAAGACCCGCACATCCCACTGCGATAACAAGTGGGAATGGCAAGGTTCAGCTCCCTCCTCTGGGGAGAAGGGAGGCTGAGGTGGGCTTGGAGAGAACCGCCCTCCCAGCCTGTGGCTACTTTGTGAGAACAACGTGTGGTGGGCTCCCACATTCTGCCAGGCCCGCTCTCAGTCACGATGAAGTTTGGACTGTGGGACGCGGGTGGTGTGCGGCGAGGAAGGAGGTTTCCAGGCCCACGGCTCTTCAGCGGGGCCGCATTCCTCTCTTCATCAGGCTGTGGCTTGAGTACTCCTCCCTACAAAATCGACGAACGCCAAGAGGGGCAAAGGGGAGGGGGCGGGAGAGGCAGGACCGAGAGTCCCGCGAAGGGGCTTGGCGCCCACCCCCACATCTGGATATTTTCAGTTTTCCGTTACTCGAAGGTACACACAGCCCGGATGCTCCCGGGGTGGGGCAGGGACCCTCCCTGCGCCTGGATTTCACGCCGCTACAAATCGAAACCAGGTTGGTTTTCAAAGGAGCCCTAGACCGGCTCGCCCCGCCCCTCCTGCTTCCCCACCTCCCCACTCCCACCCTGACTCCCGCCTAGCCCTTCGCCCTGCCCCCCACCGTGATTCCCGCGCCAGCGAGCAAGGTTTGAATCCCGCTAGCTGCGTCTGACCAGGCAAAGGCCAAGTTTGGGGGCAGGCAGGAGCGAGACCCCACAGGTGGGCGAGCTGCGGGGGTCTGTCTTACCTGCCTCCTGATCACGCGGGTGCTCGGCGGGGCCGCAGAGGGGCTGAGCGGGCGCCGCGGGCTGCAGGCAGGGCAGGTAGGAGTCTGCGGGGGTCGCCGGCCGGGGGCAGGGGTAAGACAGGAGGTTGCCGTAGAGTCCGGAGTAGGACAAGTCGGGGGAGGTTGTGGTTGCGGGCGGGAAGCCAAGCGGGTAGGCAGCTGCCACCGACGACGGGAGGGGGGCGAGGTCCGGGAAGACAGTTTTGGAGGCGTCCTGGCCAGGGAAGGGGCAGGGCAAAGAGGTCATTGCGGCCGGAGCCGGAGCCTAGGGACCTAGGCCATGGCCCCAAAATCGTTCACTCCCTTCTCCAACTCGATCCCGAATCTGGGGCGTTGGGCCGGACGAGCCCCCCACCTCCCCCGCCTCCGACCAGCCGCCCCCACACTTCAGATCCCTGGGATCGGTCTGCACTTCTTTCAGCCGAGAGGGCGCGCCAGGGAAAGGGGTGGGGGTACTCCCCATGATTTCCCCTCCCCCCCATTCGTGGGGCCCCCTCCTCTCCATCGAGTTGGGTTCCGCAGCCCCGACGGGGGCCCCGCCCACTCTGACGCCCTGGATTGGTTGCGGCTCGCGGTGACCTCACGGAGGCCCTGGTGCGGGGACCCGCCTCTCGAGGTTGGGAAGAGGGAAAGAGACGGTGCGTCCGCTTCAGGACCATTTATCTCGGGGTCTTCCAGAGCAGTGCTGTTGGTAACTTCTGTAATTAGGACGTGGGCTGGCCCAGGACTCCCCAGGGGCTAGGGGAGATGCACAGTGAATGAGGCGCTACGGCCGTGAACTAGGGGTCCGTGCTCCTCCGCTCCCGGGCATCGGCGCGCTGGTCCTGGTGGCACCGCCAAGGACCTGTCGGGGAGTCGCGGCCCGCGCCGGCGGCTTATTCAGCGCGTCGGAATGCGGCGCTGCCGAGCGCCGGCACTTTGTTGGTAAACAGACGCCAGGCTGGGAGGGTGCTGCCTGGCGCCCAGGCGGCCCCGCACGCGCTCGGCGCGCACGCCTCCGCGGGGCGCCCGGGGCCTGGCACGCCGCGACTGCCGCCACTGCGCCTCCTGCCTCCTCAGCTTCCGGCATGGTCCACCCCTTCGCCCCGGTGTGGTTGCGACACCGTAGCTCCTACCGACCCCTGAGGCTGCGGGAGGGATCTGCTGTCTGGGCTTTTGCATCTCTCCTGGTGCCGCAGAGGGCAGAAGCCTAGTGTGAACTTGAGCAAAACTCGGCAAGGAGAGATGAGCATAGATGATGGCTCATGGGAGGGCACAGGATACGGGCAAGCGATCTTATTTTCTAGGCTGTTTGCTGGATCTGTCTCTAAAACAGTAGTACCCAAAGGCTGGATGGACAGGTGTGCACGTATGCAAACATCTGTTGCCACTTGGATTAAACCACCAGCATACTGAACTCAAATACAACACACTTGCTCGCACATACCAGTTGTAGGTGTCTGTGCCACTGTTAACACTAGCATCCGTCCATGAAGCTGGCAGTTAGGGCTGTGGCCACACACATCTACATACCCAGAGATGAACACGAGCAATGGCTGTTTGACTGTTACTCCTCAGACAAGAGGCTGGTGCGCAGACACAAAGTACAAAGACGCCAAGCATAGGGACGTCTTTTTATACAAGTACTCACCCTGAACTCTACCGGTCCTCACACGCATCTACGCTACTTTGCATTAGGGGAGAGGCCGTTTTACCCCTAGTCCACCAGGGCCAGCGGATTCCCCAGCACACTCAATATCTTTTACCCACCTGAGTATGCAGCCGGTCGGGCATGTTAGTGTTTGTACACATGGGTGCTTTCATGATCAGGATTGAGAGTGAAGGTAGCCACCACGGGGGCAGGGAGGGTTGTAGAAAATGAAAATGATCAGAGAGAGAGGCAAAGACAGAAGGCACTACGAGGTGACCAGGTCTAACCCTCCGTGGAGAGACAGAAGCTGCAGGTGTGATTGAAGGTCAAGGTCATGTCCTGAGGGAGGAAGGCAAGTGGGCTGCACACTGGACTCCCGGCTGGATGGGAGCAGTGAATTCCTCCACCAGCCATTTGCTTGGGAACTCTGCATCCTGAAGTCTCTGAACTCCTGATCGTATCAAACATGGCATTCAGGCTCCCTGTTTTTTTTTTTTTTTCCTTTAAAAATATTCTTGTTTTCTTTCTAGAGTACTTTTTTTCTTAAAATATTTATTTTTTTTATTGGAAAGTCAGATTTACAGAGAGAAGGAGAGACAGAGAGAAAGATTCTCCATCCATTGGTTCACTCCCCTAAGTGACTACAACAGCTGGGGCTGTGCTGATTTGAAGCCAGGAGCCAGGAGCTTCTTCTGGGTGCAGGATCCCAAGGCTTTTGAGCTCAGGCCACATGCAGCAGGCTCCCTGCATTCATTCTCTCTCTCTCTCTCTCTCTCTCTCTCTCTCTCTCTCTCTCACACACACACACACACACACAAGCCAGGGAGGCACTATTTACAAGTAAGTACAACTCACCCAGCATCCATCTTCACTTCCTTCCTAGGGACTCTCCCTTCCCGCTCCCTAGAGTGTCTAGAGTGCTGGGAAGTGGTATGTGGTGGAACTTCTCAGGAAGGATCCTCTTTCAACCGGAACCCCAGCTCACCATCCCCAGGCAGGGAGGGGGACCAGCAAGGGCAGTGCTCTTGCCCAGGATCAGAAGGGAAGGAGGCTGGCCTGGGCAGCCCGAGGTCTGGATTTCAGTCTCTCAACCACCAAGTTGCTGCCTGGGATATTTTGGTTCAGCATTTCTCAGTTTCTCAAACTAGCTTTTCTAGAAAGGATAAAAGGACAGGGCTGGAATGAGAGTGCCAGGCTTTTGTCATTTGCTTTATGATGACTTGCAAAAGCTCAAATGTCCAAACAAAATCAAGGAGGGAGTGTGGAGGAGGCAGGACGGGAGGTGGGAGAGCAGTAGCAGGCAAAGTGACAAAACCAATTCTCTCCTGTGTCTACCAATGAATGCATCAGCCCCAGGCTCCTGACCAGAAATGGGCCCTCTCAGTTCCTTCCCAAGCAGAAACTCTTCCTTAGTGAAAGGAGCTCCTGGATTTGGAGAACCTCAACCTGAGGCGATGCCCTGGGGGAGGGGTGGGCGGGGGGGGGGGGGGGAGAGAGAGAGAGAGAGAGAGAGAGAGAGAGAGAGAGAGAGAGAGAATATGCAGGGAGCCTGCTGCATGTGGCCTGAGCACAAAAGCATTGGGGTCGGGGTACTGCACGGCAAACTCTCCAAGGAGTCCAGGACTCCAGTTGTGGTTGGAGATGCCCCTTGCAAGATGCCAGATTCCTTCTTGCAGCTAGATAGAAGGAGCAGAGGACATCCTGCCTGATCTAGTATGGTAAATATGCGGTGCTGGGATGCATTCCTTTGCTTGAGGTTATTGCAAGTTGCAACCCTCCAGGTAGCAGGAATTCTGTTGGAATCAGCAGCCCTTCCTATCCTCCACACCAGCACTCCCAAACACCCAAACACGTGGAGGGTGCACAGGATGCTTTCCTCCCTCTCAGCCCCACTGTGCTATGCTTTGATGCCAGCTGTAGAAGAAAGGCAAGGTCTGTAAATGCGAGTGGCCCTTGCAGGGATCTGTCCATAGAAACGTGAGAGTCTGGGGCCAGCACAATAGCTCACAGGCTAAGTAACGCTCCACCTTCACCTCCAGCATCCCATATAGGTGCCAGCATCCCATATAGGTGCCGGTTTGAATCGCGGCTGCTACACTTCCCATCCACCACCCTGCTTATGGCCCGGGAAAGCAGCAGAGGATGGCCCAAGTCCTTACAACCCTGCATCCCTGTGGGAGACACAGAAAAATCCAGGCTCTTGGCTTTGGACCGGCTCAGTTCCTGATGTAGTGGCCATTTGGGGACTGAACCAGTGAAATGGAAGACCTTACCATCTTTGTCTTTCCTTTTCTTTGTAAAATCTGTCTTTCTAATAAAAAATAAAGAAAAAGAAAAATGGAGAGATTGTACTGCGACATCAGTACCAAGACATCACAGCCGTGCCCCTATATCCCACCTACACTTTGAAACGAAATTCAGTTGAGTTTTGTATGTTATCAGTGAGATCTGTATTCCATGTAGCAGCGTTTTAGTAACTCAACTCGAGGAAACTTCGGGAACAAATCTCAGCTTGGCACAGTCTAAGGTGAAAGAAAACGTATGGTTGCACCCAACCTGCTTGTGTGCCGCGGTGGCTGGAGCCCCCAGTTAACTGACGCGTGGGGAAGGAAAGCTGCAAAAGCGGTGCACACCCTCTGATCCGACTTTTCTTTATCATGGGAATTGTTGCGTCTCTAACGTCTTTCAGACCCGGCACTAAAGCAGCGCTAGCACGGGCAAGGTACTGTCCTAAGCACGAAGGGAGGCCGGCCCGACCACTCGCCCTTCCCTGGGCCCTCACCTCCGTTCCCTTTGGTAGCTTTCTTGGCAGCGGGGTTCCTCCCTCATTTTACTAAAGTGTTGGGAGAAGTTCCTGGGGGAGAGGAAGAGGGAGGGGGAGGAGAGAGGCCTTGGGGTGAGCGCCACCCCCAGCGGACAGTGGGACGCCCCTCCCCCATCACCTCTCCCCAGGCGGGATCTTTGCTTTTTCAGCCTGGTTCTTTATGAGATTGGCCAGGACGTTTTTAATGCACACGCGTATGAAGTCACCAAACACGTTGAAAACCAAATCGAACAGCTCTTTGATCAACACTCCCCTCCTCCTCCCAAATAAAACGGTTAAAAAACACTGGGGTGTTTTTGAAGATGCGTTGCCTTACAGCCTCTGTGCACGGTGAACGAACTTTGCTGCGCTCGGGGGCTGGAAGTGGCTCTGGGTGGGGGGCGCGTGCGCGGGACTCGGCAGCCTAGAGCGCAGGGCGGGGTGCGGGTGGAGTTCTCCCCTGATTCCAGTCCTGTGATCCCAGTCCAGTGGACTGGAGGGAGAGACCTGCATCGGAGCCGGGTGGTCAGAACGCGGCATTGGAGCCGAGGGAGAATGTGGTGAGCCGGCGGGAGGTCCAGAAACGAACCCGGCTGCAACGAATTTCCTGTGCCAGGAAAGAAGTCAGCTCGGCCGGGGTCTTCAGACTTTCTCAGGCCCACGCACGGAAGGGCGGGCGTTCCGCCCAAGTCTTTATAGCCGGGTCCTGGGTGGAAGCTAGAGAGGAGACGGGCGGGATCAGGAACGGCATCCAACGGCAGCCGTGAAGTGATGTGTGCTCGGGCCACAACGCACGTACCATACACAGCAGTGG